ATATATATATATATATATATATATAATATCACTCACCATATCCAAACATCTACATCCGGACAATGCCCACATACCCACAGACCAAGCGGCCTTCAGCAGCGTCAATCCTTTGGAGGTGACGTTCCGTTGTATCATCCCGTCAGTGGACCTCAAGTGCAAGCCTGCGCACTTCAACGCTCTCTCCGAAGTCATTCAGTCGTCGCTGGATCGTGAGCGTAAGGATGCGGAACTGCTGCAGAGCATTGAGTACGCACTCAGGCTGACTAACATCGATGACTTCAGGCCGGGTATCACCCAAATGCAGGTGTGTGTGTGTGTCTTGTATTCTATCCACTATGTGTGTGTGTGTTACATCCACTGTGTGTGTGTGTATTATATTGACTGCATGTGTGTGAGAGTGTACGTGGACGTGTGTGTATACTATATTTGCTATGTGTCTGTGTGTACGTGTACGTTTACGTTTACTTGTATGTGTATGTGCACTTTTGCCGTGTGCGTATACCGACAACTCTAGGGTACTCTATATACAGAGTAAAAGATGAAGTATACGCTAGTATATGCTGAACCAGTTCTGGTTAGTTATAGTCTATTTGCTCGACCGTGAGCGTAAGAATGCGGAAGCGTTACAATGGCATGAAGCATGTACTGAGGGTTTTAGGGTTGTTAAGGTTGAGGGTTTTATGGTTTTAACGCACACTTACACCCTATGCCTACACAGGAACGCGTGCGCAAGTGCAACCGCAGCATTGAACAGACCGAGCGGCAGATCTATCTGAAGTCGCAGGAGATGCTCAGCAGTACAGCCGATGACTGTAGGAGTGTCTATGGCTGTGCCACCCCCCGTTCTTCCCCAGGCGCACCCTGGCTGTCCACACCCGCCCGACCAACCATGTATGACAATGCCTATACCTCCCCACAAACACACACCCACACCCACACCCACACCCCGGCCAATACCAGTCCCCACGGTGCAGTGGATCGCAAACCAAGCCACCCTTTAGA